GATCTCTCTCTCTCTCTCTCTCTCTCTCTCTCTCTCTCTCTCTCTCCACAACAACAGCAAACCACCATCAATCAAAATTCATATTAGTAGCCTGCAGGATTTAAAATTATGAGTTTGGTGGTCTCTAAGGTCAACAAGGTTGGCGACCCCTGTCCTAGTCCAACTAGTTCCAGCTCAAGCAGGAACTCTATATCATTTCAGGACGTCCTCCCTGGCAGTATGAAATGAGCTGTGCGACACCCCTCCCCACGTGCACCATTTCAGGCATGGATTTCTTTTCCACCACCCTGGCAGCCAAAATGGGGTGGGGGCAATGTCCCCTGTGCCCCATTTTGGGCCTGGACAGCCTCCTCACCACCCTAGCAACCAAAACAGGGCACCGGTGGGGCACGATGCCCCAGTGCCCAATTTTGGGTGTGGACAGTCCACTCTCACCACCCTTGCAACCAAAATGGGACAAGGGACTGTGCAACACACACACACACACACACACCATGCCCAGGGTGGAATTCAGCCAGTTTGGTGAACCGGATGTTAATTTTGTATCCAATTCGGCAAACTGGTAGTTCCGATGACCAGCTGGCCCTGCCCCGCCCTGCTCCTTCCAGGACTCCTCATGCACCATATTGTGGCTCCCAGGTAAGTGCAAGGAGGTCTCCTAGGCCCAAAGTGGGGTCAGGGGTGCAGTGTGGCTCCCCGGTGCCCCATTTTGACTTTCCTGGGGCTGCAGGGAGATCTCCTAGGTCCAAAATGTGGCACAGAGGGGCAGTGAAAGAAAGAAAAAGAAAGAAAGAAAGAAATGAAGAAAGAGGGAGATATGGGAGAAAGAAAGGGAGGAAAGAAAGAAAGAAAGAGAAAGAGGGAGGGAAGGGAGGAAGGAAGGAAGGAAGGAAGGAAGGAAGGAAGGAAGGAAGGAAGGAAGAAAGAAAGAAAGAAAGAAAGAAAGAAAGAAAGAAAGAAAGAAAGAAAGTAAGTAAGAAAGAGGAAGGAAGGAAGGGAAGGGCGAAAGAAAGAGAGGGAGGAAAGGGAGAAAGAAAAGGAGGGAAGGGATAAACAGGGAAGGGAAGGGAAAATGAATGAGATATGGAGGGAGGGAGGGAGGGAGAGAAAAGGGAGAAGAAGGAAAGACCACAAACTGGCACTAGACACAGCTTCAGAGGATGCTTTGAAACAGCACAACAATCCAGGGCTGGAAGGGACATCAGAAGTTATCTAGTCTAATCCCCTGCTCTAGCAGGAGACCTTATATCATCTTGGTTATTTTGTTTGTTTTTTAACCACAAAGCCACACCCACCCAGTCACATGACCACATATCCATGCCCACCAAGCCAGGCCCACAGAACAGGTAGTAAAACCATTTCAATTCCACCACTGCCTATGCCCCATTTTGGACATCAATGGCCTCCTCTACTACCCTGGCAGCCAAATCAGGGCACGGGGATGCCACATTTTGGCTCTTAGAGTCACTGCAGGCCAGTCATTTGCAATTTCCAGGCCTTGAGTTTGACCCCCCCTATTCTAGAGTCTCAACATCTGTTTTACATTATGGCAACCAAAACTAAAGGCAGTATTCTGAGTGTGCTCTTAGCACACTCTTAGCATTATAAAGCAGTACTAACATTCATGTGATCTTGATTCTATCCCTGTGTTAATGCAGTCTAGGACTATGTTGGCTTTTTTAATAGCTGCAGCACACTGCTGGACTCCAAGATCCCTCTCACAGTTACTACTGTGTTTCTCATAAAGCAAGGCTGGGCCTTAATTTTTTTTGACCCCTGAAAAAATGGCTAGATGCAAAATATTGTTGAAGAAACATGGTACTATTGGACCTGGAACCACCTATTCTATAACCATGCATTTGGTTTTTCTTATCTAAATGTTGAATTTTATTTTTCTTAACACTGATTTGCTTTTGTTAGGTAAGACCCAGTGCTCAAGTCTTTTGAGATCCATCTGGATCTTGAGCCTATCTTCTGGAGTGTTGGCTTCCAACTTGGTCTCATCTACAATTTGATGAATTCCCTTTCTATCGTCTCGTCTATCTTATTTATAAATATATTGATAGTGAACCTAAAACAGAGCCAGAGCCACTGCATACTTCCCACAATGTAGATGCAGTTCCATTAATGAGCATACGCTGAGTGTCATTGGTCAGCCAGTTATGAATCCATCTTGTGGTGATGCTCTCTAACCCACATTTTCTATCTTATTAAGTAATAGGTTGTGGTCTACTTTAATCAAATACTTTACTGAAGTTCAAGTAAATTATATCCACAGCATTTTGCTGCTCCTCTAATTTTGTCACATTGTCAAAGATTGCAATAAGATTTTTCTGGCATGATCTGTTTTTAACAAACCCATGTTGGCCTCTCGTTGTATAAAGTATAAAAATAAAAACTACCATTTATATAAAACACTTAGAACATACAATCTAAAAATGACAGTAGCCAAGAATACAAAGACCAGACATAATGTCTAACCACTGATCACTTTCTGACCCATTCCCAGTCAAACAACTAATTCTTCAGTGCTTTCCAGAAAGCCAGTCCAGTCTTAATCTAATCTTGCTACTGCTACCATAAAAGCATACTACCTGGGTCCTACAAGACGACATTCTTCAATTTAAAACTGAAGATTCCCCTCCTGCCATATATAACAGGATGGGTAGAGATACAAGTTTAAGATGAAAAGTCATAAGAGCATGTACAGAGAATGAAATACCAGTGTATAATTTCCATTTTTCCATGTATAATTTACCATTTTAGAATAAAATAGAATAGAATTCTTTATTGGCCAAGTGTGATTGGACACACAAGGAATTTGTCTTGATGCATATGCTCTCAGTGTACATAAAAGAAAAGATACATTCGTCAAGAGTCAAGAATCATACGGTACAACACTTAATAATAGTCATAGGGTACAATAAGCAATCAAATCATACTAGGAACAGTCAATATAAATCGTAACAATACAAGCAACAAAGTTACAGTCATACAAGTGGGAGGGGATGGATGATATGGAGTGATGAGAAGATTAATAGTAATGCCAATTTAGTAAAAAGTTGGATAATAATTGAGGGAATTATTTGTTTAGGAGAGTGATGGCATTCAGGAAAAAACTGTCTTTGTGTCTAGTTGTTCTGGTGTGCAGTGCTCTGTAGTGCCGTTTTGAGGGTAGGAGTTGAAACAGTTTATGTCCAGGATGTGAGAGGTCTGTAAATATTTTCACAGCCCTCTTTGACTCATGCAGTATACAGGTCCTTGATTGAAGGCAGGTTGGTAGTAATTGTTTTTTTCTTCAGCCCTAATTACTCTCTGAAGTCTGTGTCGTTATAGAGGTGCAGATGACAGACTCAATAATTCCTCTGAAGAACTGTATGTATTTTAAATTACCCCATTTATTCTAAAATAATAGCAACAACAGATACATAATGGAATATTGTTGCTGCTTCAATGCATTCTGTTTTGGAAAAAAGAACTTCAGTAAAGTATTTCATAAAGTAGACCACAACCTATTACATGATAAGATAGAAAAATGGGGTAGACAGCATTGTGATGCTATCTATCTGCTTTCTTGATATCATAAATACAATGAACTCAATGTGCACAAGAATACCCTGTTTTACCAAACATTAGGAGTCATATCACATTTAGATTAGCACATATGTTATGGAATGCATTTCATTTTCTTAGATAATGAAGCATTGTGTCATAATTTACACCAAGACGAATTCCTTGTGTGTCCAATCACACTTGGCCAATAAAGTATTCTATTCTATTCTATTCTATTCTATTCTATTCTATTCTATTCTATTCTTCCTAATGAATGATTATATATACGGTATACATATATGACAGTAAAGAAGGAATTTAGAAGAAATGGAATACAAGGACAGTGATAAACCACATTATTAGCAGTGGCCATTTTGTGGCCTTTT